ACACTGTTAGGTTACCTATGATTCTGGGTAAAGGTGTTATTCTCCAAATAATCCATATTTAACTGAGTTGGGTTGAAAACTAAAGACCCCCCCCCCCCCGAGACTGTTTAAAATGGTCTACAGATGGCTTTTATTAATTCAACTTTCAAAAAGCAGTTATTTTGCACCCACAGCATCCAGACTCTGAAGACAGTGTCCAGTGAAAAAACATTATAGCATTCGTATTTTCTTGCTCTCAAGTGTCCTCAAGTTGCTTTAGGAATAGAAGTTGTCTCTGAGGACAGAGAAAAAAGAAGGGGAAAGGAGTTGAAATATGGGTGCTGTAGCTCTTTAATGTGTACAGGTACAGAGCAAATACAGCACAAGTATTACCGTTGTAAAATCCACATGGTGATTTTTTTATTATGAATATTCATGAGATACAAATTACCAGAAATTGCTTTTATACCCCATGTCCCCACCCAGTTGTCCTCCAACCTCCCTCCTCCTCCCCTCCCCGCCCCCCAACTCCGCTTTGCAGCCCTAGGAATGTTCCCTCCCTCTGTAAGACCACTGCACTACTGTGGTCTCTCTTTCCTTCCTTCCTTTCTCTCTTAGCTTCCACTTGTGAGTGAGCACATGCAATGTTTATCCCTCTGCGCTTTGCTTATTTCACTCAACAGAAGTTTCTCCAGGCTCATCCACATTATTGCAAATGAGAGATTTCATTCTTTTTTATGGCAGAGTAGTATTCCATGGTGTATATATACCACAGTTTCCTTACCCCATCATCCATTGATGGACATGTAGGTTGGTTCCTTTTCTTGACTATTGTAAATAGAGCTGCAATGAACATAGGAGTGCAGGTATCCCTTTGACATGATGATTTCCATTCCTCTAGGTATATACCCAGCAGAGGGATTGCTGGACCATATGGAAGATCTATCTGTAGTTGTTTGAGAAACCTCCATACTGTTTTCCATAGTGGTTGTACTAATTTACAGTCCCACCAACAGTGTAGGAGTGTTCCCTTCTCTCCACACCCTCGCCAGCATTTGTTATTCACATCATTGTTTTCCATAGCACTTACAGCACTTTTAGCACATTCAAAGTACTTTGTAATTTAAATGTTTTTAATTTAACAACTTACAATCTACCTTCAAAAATACATTTTACACTATTCCGGACCATCCACCAAAGTTTTGGGGCCAGAGACCCAAATTCATCTCAGGCTCCAAGAGCAAATTTAAAAACTGAATCATTGTTTTCCATAGCACTTACAGCACTTTTAGCACATTCAAAGTACTTTGTAATTTAAATGTTTTTAATTTAACAACTTATAATCTACCTTCAAAAATACATTTTACACTATTCCGGACCATCCATCAAAGTTTTGGGGCCAGAGACCCAAATTCATCTCAGGCTCCAAGAGCAAATTTAAAAACTGATTCCTTCCATCATTCAGCCCAAGCAGAGGGGTAGAGTATGTGTCTGACAACAAACGGATCTGGATTCCAACCCCAGCTCTGTGAACATATGCTCTGTTACCCTGGGCAGGTCATCTGCTAAAGTCATTTGCCTCCCATCCTTTATCTGTTAGATGGGTGTTCCCTGTCGTAAAAGGTGGATGGATAGCACAGGCATGGAGTGCTAATGTTTTTCCCTCCATCCCCAACTGAAAAAAACATAGAAGGGGGGGAAGCAGTTTACCCAACAAAACGCTAAGAGGAAATCAGCTGCGTCAAGATAAGGGCTGAGGCATAAACCGGCAGAGCGTCTCCAGGCAGGCAGACGAGAGCCATGAGGTTCATCCTGCCCGTGGGTTTAATCGCAGCCACCCTTGCGATGGCTCCTGTCCGCTTTGACAGGTAAATCTCTCCTCCTGTGCTCCAGTCTCTGTGGGAGGAGGATAAAGGGAAGTTTCTTTACAGCTCAAATTTTCTATCTTTTGCCTTCTTAAAGGGAGAAGGTGTTCCGCGTGAAGCCCCAAGATGAAAAACAAGCAAACATCATAAAGGACTTGGCCAAAACCAGTGAGGTAAGTCATGTAGGGGGATAGTTATCTTTTCTTTCTTTCTGTTCCCTAAAAGCTGTTTCTTTTTTATTTTATTTTTAATGCCCACAAAAGGGAAACAGCAGGAGCCACTTGGATGATTCAGTTAATGGCCAATACTTTATTTTTGTGTGTGTGTTTGTTTTCCCAGCTACCCCTTCTGTTTTTCCTCCCAAAAGCTTTGCAAACAACAGCTTTTTCTAGGTAAAATTGCAAAATAAGGAGGCATTTTTGACACCTGTACCAGGACTCTTGGCGCTCTCTGCTGGTGCCCTGCCCTATGCATTCCCCCCTCTCCCATCCTGATCTCCACGGGTGGCACAATTTGTTAAAGTATTAACGATAATGTCCTTCTCAAGAAGGGGATGTTTTAAAGGAGACTCTTAGATCATTCCTTTGAAATCCAAAGGACTAAGACAGTCACTTTATCATTTATTCAGCTGCTCCTCTACACAGGGCACATTGGGCCAGCTGCCTTACGTACGTCATTTCAAATTCTCCAACAGATTTGCAATGGCTGGCTCATAATTCAACTTCAGAAGAACTGGAGTTCAAAGACGATAAATTGAATGACCAAGACTACACATCAGATTTAAACCAGAACCAAATCTGGGATTTATTCTAGTCACACACACTCTTATCTCCACATCAAAACAGTCAAAAGTCCTGCCTATTCTAATTTGGAATGTTTCTCAAATCCATGCTTTTCTCTCCATTCTGATACCACTGCCATGTTCGTGTCCACTCCATCTCTTACTGGGACGATTTCAACAGTCGCTTAACTAGCACCCAGGGTTTTAGTCCTGCCTCTCACAAAGCTAAGTCTGCAGTGCAACCTCCTTGCTGTCTCTAAAACTAGACAGGTACATTCTTCCATCCAAAGTTCATATGGGAGGCAACCTAGCATGGAGACAGTATGTTCTTCAGAGCCAAATGCTGAGGCTCAAATCCCAGCTCCGCTCTAGCTCTGTGGCTTTAGTCCAGTTACTAAACCTCTCTGGATTTCAATTTCCTCCTCTGTAAAATGGGGATAATAATCACATTACTGCCTAAGGTTGTTAAAAGCCTAAATAAGCTTTGAGTAGTACTTAGAAGCAGGCCTGGCTGTGATAAGCACCACAGAAGCATTTCCTGTTGGCACTGGTGTGGCAAAGTCCTTCGTGATTTGCCAAATCGCCAGCCTCTTCAGTTTCCTGCCCCCCATCTTCTTTCTCACCCTTCAAGATCAATAAACACCAAAAACTCACCCACCTTGGCCCTGTACACCTTTTCTCATGAGGAATGTGTTTCTCTCTTTACCTGGCTAAGTCCTACTTATTCAAGACCCAGCTCAGACAGTGTCTCCAGCAGGAAGTCTTCTCTGTCCATTGACTGTCATGGCCCATTTGGATTGCTCCTTGTGCTCCTGGCACACCCTGTTCCTTCCCCTGGCATGGGTTAACATGTTGGAAACATGCATATATGGCTCTAACACCCACATGAGACCTCTTGCTTCTCATAAGTCCCTTATTAGCCTCTGCAGCCACACACCCAACTCTGTGCCTGGTGCTTAAATGCTCATGAAATGTCACCAGGCTCTAAACTCTTGCTCCATATTACCCTGCTAGAACAAAGAAGTGGCTGTTATAATAAGATGACCCTGCCTAACTTGCCTTTAAATCACACTGCATCTCTCATGTGTCCAACTTATGCTGTAGCTTTTTGACATATGGGTTTGTTCATAGCAGCCTCGTATTGCCTCATAATTGACTGACCTAAAGATGGACGGGAATTCAACCAGGCAGACTTATACACACCCACGGGCTTGGTGTGATGGGTGGAAATTGAGCATTTCCTTCACATCTCCCAGGTTGGGGACTTGTACTTCATTTGGTTTCACAATTGAGTATAATTTTGAAGAACCACAAGAACCAGAATCTTCTCAAAGTTATTTTAACCTAAATGCTATCCTTCTGGGCTTATATACCACATTTCTGAAATTCTCAGTTAGGGGAAGAAAAAGAAAAGAAAATCAGCCTGTGTAAAATGCCTGCATGTCTCAGACCCATTTCACAATCTTCACAATGCCCCCATGGAGTTTCACTGGTCTCATTTTTCAGAAGAGAGGTCTGGTAGTCAAGGATTCTTAGTAACTTGTCCAAGGACATATTGCTAGAAAAATGACAGGGTGAAGAGACTATGCCTTCTGCTGTTAAATACAAACCTTCCAGGAATTCCAGAGTTTACAGGAATATCGGGTTTTGAAGTCTGACTTGGGGGTTAGGGAGGGTGGGCAGGGGAGACAAGCATTTAATCTAAATTCCCAATTAGAACCAGATGTTGTGGCTAAATCAATTGTGAAATAATCCCATTTAACCCCACAATTGTGGAAGCAAACAGATTAACAAAAAGAGCTGCTCATCCTTTTTGCATTGATAGATACAATGTCCTGAAAAAGTGATCGATACAAATGGTTTCTTTCACACTCCCTAATAACAAACAGTTTTTAAATATATTTGCAAAAATCTCATGAGCATAATAAAAGAAAGGTCCATTCCTTAGTCACGCTAAATCCCAAATTCCATTCATGGTGTATAGCACATGGTCATTTCTTAATAAGTATGTGTTGGGTGAACACATAAACGATGGTGACTAAGACTGAACTTACATCTGCAGCTTGACTTCTGGTATCCAGATTCCATCCACCATGTAGCTGCTAACATGACCGTGGATTTCCAAGTTGGTGAGAAGGAATCCCAATCCGTCCAGTCTGCCTTGGATCTAAATAAAATGCACTATGAGTAAGTCCTATGCAAATATTCAAATGTGATGGATACTCAAAGTTTTGGGACCTTGAAATGAAAGATAAGTATTAGAATGGAGGTATTTTTAAATTGGGCCAAAAAAAAGGAGAAGGAAACTAAAGCTCTAAGACTAAGTTCACAATTACTACCAGACTATTGAAGCCTGCTTACAGAGGCGATAAGACCAAACTGGGCAGCTCAACTTCCATCTCACATTTGCTCTGATCTGCAAGAATGACAGTTACCTGCATCTGCCATCACCAAAACCACATGAGCCCACATGAGCAGGAATGAATGGACCAGCCACACATCATCGCCACTACAGGCAAGCATGCCAGGGCTCCGAGCTACTGGTGATGACTGTACCATGTTCTTGTATTTGGATTCTCCTGATACATAAAAGGGGACCCAAAAAACAATGCTCATCTTTAAGTTGGAGATACGGTAATATAAAATATATAACAAATAATTCTTTATGATAGAAATTCTTTCTCAGAGAAAGCAAAAGCAAAGCAGTAGAACAAGGCTTAAATCAAAGAGAAGAGAATCCCAAATACCAAAAGATGCAGAAACCAGTCATTCTGACCCACAAAAATTAAGAGAAAATTAGAATTTATTGAGCACCAGCCATGGGTCATGCACAATCTAGGTCCTGGGACAGTAAGCAAGAAGGAAGCCAAGCAAAGAATATCACAAATCAATGCATAATTTAAAAAACAAAATGTGTTTTTATACTTTCAAACATTTAGTGGTTTGATGTACTAAGCAGTCCAGTTTTAACCTCCCCAGGCCTTATCATCCCAGGATTCCCCTTTATTGAGACTTCCACTGCCCAAACGCTATTAAACACTAGACTTTTCTTTTTGAAATTGCTGTTTCATGCCTCCACCATCTAACTTAGTGCTTTAATTTGAAAGGCCTTCTTATCCTGGTTGAGATAAAGGAAGATCTTATTGATATCAGTAATATCATATTGCAGAACAGGATTTACTGCAGGTCATCATGACTCGGTTATATTTATGTTATTCCTACCATATCCCAGCTAAACATAAACTCTGTTGAAATTAATGAAAGACGTACATAAGATAAATAAACAAAAAACATTCTTCATGGTTTAAAAAGTAACAGGCTATTATTTGTGATGGTTATCGATCACTGTTTTTGTTTGTATTATTGTTTCAACAGGATTGTGATACAAACGTCGAAATTAATGAAAATATAACTCAAAATTAATTTATATCAGCATTTTAACCTTTTATGTGCTTCTCTATGTTTTTAATAAATGGCACTATTAGAATGAGAAATAGACACTCCATAAATATACCTCCAAGATGGCAGAAATTTGTGGTACATTATGCGCCATCTGCTTATGCTAAGGTTCAAATGATGTCTTGATTCTGTCATCTAAAAAACAATCATCCCTCCCCTCTACATAACCCCGGGTCACTGTGCCTCTTGGTTCACTGTATAGCCAGGCATCTCAAATGTGTGCTTTGGTTGTTACACTCCTCACTTTACTTCATTAATGCAGACCTGATATCGATTGATTCTTGTGACCAACTAATTCTTACAAAGTATGCAGCCCAAGCTAAAATAAAATAGTGTTGTGCCAAATTTTATGCAATTTGGCTAGGACAGCAGGGTAAAAAATAAAGTATTATGTTTTCTTTAATATCTCTGTAACATAGACAAAAAAGCTAACTGCTTGACCTGAGCATGAATAGAGGAGTAAATCACTGCAAGACACCTAGGCAGGTGGCTGACATCCTTCCATTTTGTCAATAATGCACATCAGCCCTTCCTCCTCTTTGGCCCTGTGGACCTCTCCTGTCCCAAAACAATTCTGACTCAACTAGAGGTCTAAATCCAGATTCTCATAGATAGTATTTTTTTCACTTTGTATTTTGCCAAGATTGCTTCTTACTATCTGTATCAACAACCAAAGTGCTAAACTACCTATAAAAATTAGTTTTATCTAATTAAGACAGGATTTTTAGAAATTGGCCCAAATTAGCCACATAATTAGATAGTTACCTTCCTCAGAAATATAAATATGTAAAGTGGTCTGTGCAGACAAGAACTATGTAAAATCTTGTCTCCAAGTACTAATTAAATAGATAATTTTATTTGCATATTAATTATATGTTACTTGGTGTCAGTCAGTAACAGAAGAGGATTCTGAGAAAAGAAACATCTGGTTGGATCCAGGCACCAGGCTGAATAAAACCATATTTGAGGCTGGTTTGACACAATGATTTACTTAGACACCCTTCATTAGACAGTGCACATAAACCACTATTTAGTTTAAGGCATCTGCATGTGATATTTTTTACATTTTCAGAAAATTAAATTACTAAGCCAGATTTGATTTTAAAGTAGCATGCCTGCTCCCTTTGTATTCACATTTTTACAAAATCATTAAAGGACAAGTCCAAAAAACAAACAACTTGTATATACTAACAAACCCAAACAGACTGGGAACAAATGTCAAAAGAAAAGCACATCTATTGGGCTGAGCCTCAAGGCAGATGCCATATTTAGATTCACCAGTTAAATACCCTTGTGTTTTTACTAATTTTTTTTTACATTTTAGATAGTCAATTTTTAACATTGTCTTCTCTTTGATCAAAGTTAAACTTAGAAAATAAAAACTCATTAATGAAGGGTAATTCAGAAAATAACTATTAATATAATAATAAAACTCAAATGGTACAATTACATAAAGTCTTATTAAGATCCGCATAAGACTACATGGGAAATGCAAAAGAAATATATGCCAAACTGACACGGTGATAATCAACGCTTCATATTAATGTCTAACTACCTAATAATGTTCAGTCAGACACAAATTCATATTCCAAGTATACTCACAGTCCTATGAAATAAGTGTTTCAATCAAACAAATCATTCTAGCGTGTCATCCCATTCACTTTTCCTCTTGTGCCACATTTTTACGTATTACTTGCCCAAGAGTATAACTTGTATGTTAGTCCTGCTGCAGATATTGATGACACTGGTCGTGATGATAGGTATGAAAGTGGGTTCTGGAGCAAGGCTGTCTGGGTCCAGTCCATTCAAACCATGCGCTTCATATTAATGTCTAACTACCTAATAATGTTCAGTCAGACACAAATTCATATTCCAAGTATACTCACAGTCCTATGAAATAAGCGTTTCAATCAAACAAATCATTCTAGCGTGTCATCCCATTCACTTTTCCTCCTGTGCCACATTTTTACGTATTACTTGCCCAAGAGTATAACTTGTATATTAGTCCTGCTGCAGATATTGATGACACTGGTCGTGGTGATAGGTATGAAAGTGGGTTCTGGAGCAAGGCTGTCTGGGTCCAGTCCATTCAAACCATGCAGTAGGTATTTAATGTTGACAATTTATTAACTTCTCTCTACCTCATTTACCTCATCTATAAAATGGACATAATAATGGAACCTACTTCACAAGGGTTTCATGAAGATTAACTGGGACCATAAAGTCACTCTTTCCCTGGTTCCTTTACTTCTATTAATGTTGGCAAATGAAGGTCACTTTTATATATGCTCACATGAGTGTGCACACACACACAGTGCAACAGGGGATAACTAGAGGCTATCCCCAGATGCTCCCTTTCCCTCCTAATGAATAAATTAATGCCTTAAAGTTTTTTATCCAACACAGTGGTATGCCTCAAACACTGGGAAATGCAAGTCAGTAAGTGCAGAATTTGATGCATGATGACCCAATTAGGGAATTACTGGGGACAAAGCGGATCTTGTGGAAACCTGAAACCATGCTTTCTGTAAAATGGACATAATAATGGAACCTACTTCACAAGGGTTTCGTGAAGATTAACTGGGACCATAAAGTCACTCTTTCCCTGGTTCCTTTACTTCTATTAATGTTGGCAAATGAAGGTCACTTTTATATATGCTCACGAGTGTGCACACACACACAGTGCAACAGGGGATAACTAGAGGCTATCCCCAGATGCTCCCTTTCCCTCCTAATGAATAAATTAATGCCTTAAAGTTTTTTTATCCAACACAGTGATATGCCTCAAACACTGGGAAATTCAAGTCAGTAAGTGCAGAATTTGATGCATGGTAACCCAATTAGGGAATTACTGGGGACAAAGCGGATCTTGTGGAAACCTGAAACCATGCTTTCTGAATAGCCCCCATTCTGCTGTAATGTGGGCATCAGGAGAGTCAAGACCAGTTTTTAAGGTTCCCTAACACGGACTCTGCCACCCTGAAACATCCTTCGCCACTGCA